TGGCTGCATGTATGTCTTTTTTTGCAAAGTGTCTGTTCATGTCTTTTGCCCACTTTTTAATGAGGTTCTTTGTCTTTTGCTTGTGTTATAAATTTTGTTTAAGTTCCTTATGGATTCTGGATATTACACCTCTGTTGGATATATAATTTGTAAATGTTTTCTCTCATTCTGTAGGTTGTCTGTTTCTTCTGTTGATAGTTACTTTTGTTGTGCAGAGGCCCTTTAGTTTAATTAAGTCCCATTTGTCAATTTTTGTTTTTGTTGCAATTGCTTTTGTCATCTTTGTCATAAAATCTTTGCCAGGGCCTTTGTCCAGAATGGTACTTCCTAGGTTTTCTTCTAGGATTTTTATAGTTTTAAGTTTTACATATAAGTCTTTAATCCATCTTGAGTTGGTTTTGTATGTGATGTAAGGAAGGTGTCCAGTTTCAATCTTAGACAGTTATCCCAGCACCATTTATTGAATAGGGAGTTCTTTCTCCATTGCTTGTTTTTGTCAACTTTGTTGAAGATCAGATGGTTGTAGGCGTGTGGCTTTATTTCTGGTTCTCTATTGTGTTCCATTGGTCTATGTGTCTGTTTTGGTACCAATACTGTGTTGCTTTGGTTACTATGGCCTTGTAATATAGTTTGAAGCCAGGTAATATGATGCCTTCAGCTTTGTTCTTTTTGTTTAGAATTGCTATTCAGGCTCTTTTTTGGCTCCATATGAATTTAAAAATAATAGTTTTTTAAATAATTATGTGAAGAATGTCATTGGTAGTTTGATAGGAATAGCATTGAATCTGTAAATTGCTTTGGGCAGTATGGCAATTATAACAATATTGATTCTTCCAATCTATGAGCATAGAATGTTTTTCCATTTGTTTGTGTCATCTCTGATTTCTTTGAGCAATGGTTTGTAATTCTCATTACACAGATTTTTTTTTTTTTTACCTCCCTCGTTAGCCACATTCCTAGATATTTTAAGCTTTTATGGCTACTATGAATGGGATTGTGTTCTTGATTTGGCTCTCAGCTTGGATGTTGTTTGTGCATGGAAATGTTGCTGCTTTTTATACATTGATTTTGTATCCTGAAATTGCTGGAGTTGTTTATAAGATCTAGGAGCTTTGGACAGAGACCACTGGGTTTTTTAGTGGCAGAATAATATCTGCAAACAGAGGTAGTTTGGCTTCCTGTCTTCCTGTTTGGATGCCTTTTAATTCATTCTCTTGCCTGATTGCTCTGGCTATGATTTCCAGTACTATGTTGATTAGGAGTGATAGTGATGAGAGTGGGCATCCTTGTCTTGTTCCAATTCTCAAGGCTAATGCTTTCAGCTTTTGCCCATTCAGTATAATGTTGACTATGGTTTTGTCATAGATGGCTCTTATTATTTTGAGATACGTTCCTTTAGTGCTTAGTTTTTTGAGGGTTTTAACATGAAGGGATGTTGCATTTTATCTGCATCTATTGAAATGATTATGTGGTTTTTTGTTTTTAGTTCTGTTTGTGTGATAAATCACATTTATTGATTTGCATATGTTAAATCAACCTTGCATTCCAGGGATAAAGCCTACTTGATCTTAGTGGATTAGCTTTTTGATGTGTTGCTGGATTCAGTTTGCTGGTAATTTGCTCAGGATTTTTGCATCTATGTTCATCAAGGATGTTGGCCTGAAGTTTTCCTTTTTTGTTTTGTCTCTGCCTAGTTTTGGTATCAAAATGATGCTAGCCTCTTAGAATGAGTTAGGGAGGAGCCCTTCATCCTCAATTTTTTGGAAATAGTTTCAGCAGGAATGGTATCAGCTATTCTTTGTATATCTGGTATAATTCAGTTGTGAATCTATCTGGCCCAGGGCTTTTTCTGGTTGATAGGCATTTTATTACTATTCAATTTTGGAACTCACGATTGGTCTGTTCAGGGTTTCAATTTCTTCCTGGATTAATCTTGGGAGGTTGTATGTTTCCAGGAATTTATCCATTGCTTGTAGATTTTCTGGTTTGCGTGCATAGAGGTGTTCATAATAGTCTCTGAGGGATTTTTTGTATTTCTGTAGGTTCAGTGGTAATGCTCCTTTGTCATTTCTGATTGCACTTATTTGGATCTTCTCTCTTTTTCTCTTTATTAGTCTAGCTAGTGGTCCATCAATCTTAATTATTCTTTCAAAGGACAAACCCCTGAATTTGTTGATCTTTTGTATGGTTTATTGCATCTCAAGAGCATAGTAAAAGGATTATACTCCTTGATCAAGTGGGTTTTATTCCTACAATGGAAGGATGTTTCAACATCTGAACATCAATAAATGTAATATACCACATTAATAGAATGAAAAAAATACACATAATCATCTTATTGTAGAAGAATAATTTGACAAAATTCAGCACCCTCTCATGATAAGAAAAGACTCAAAGACTAGGAATAGAAGGAAACTATTAGTAAAGGCCATATATGAAAAACCCATAAGTAATGTCATACTCAATTGTGAAGACTGTAAGCTTTTACTTTAAGGTTGCAGGAAGAAGATATGGATGCCTGCTTTTGTTATTTCTATTGAACTTAGTATCAGAAGTTCTAGATAAGCAATTAGGCAAGAAGAAGAAATAAAATGCATTCGAATTGGAAATAAAGAAGTAACATTCTGTCTGTTTGCAGCTGATATGATCTTATATGTAGAAAACCCTAAAAATTCCAAACACAAAATAGAGCTAATAAATGAATTCATTAAATGTGCAGGATACAAAACCAATGCATAAAAATCAATTGCATTTTTATTTACTGGCAATGAATAATCCAAAACGAAACTAAGAAAACAATTTCATTTCTAATAGTATCAAAAAGAGTGAAATATTTAGGGATACATTTAAACAAGGAGGCAAAAGACTTGTATGATGAAAACTAGAAAACATTGCTGAAAGAAATTAAAGAAGACGTAAACAAGTGGAAAGACATTTCATGTCCATGAATTGGAAGACTTACTATTGTTAAGATGACAATACTACCCAAAGAAATCTGCAGACATAATATAATTCTTATAAAATACCAATGGCAGGTTTCTAAAAAATAGAAAACCCCATCCTAAAATTCATATGCAATCTCAAGAGACTCTGAATATTATTCAGCCTTAATAAAAAATGAAATTTAGCCAAGAAGAAACGGGTCATACTAACTCATCCAAATTCTTTTTTTCTTTTCTTTCTTTCTTTCTTTTTTTTTTTTTTTTTTTTTTTGAGACAGAGTCTTACTCTGTCACCCAGGCTGGAGTGTAGTGGCATGATCTTGGCTCACTGCAAACTCTGCCTCCCGGGTTTAAGCGATTCTTGTGCCTCAGCCTCCTAAGTAGCTGGGATTACAGGCATGTGCTACCACCCCTGGCTAATTATTATTATTATTTTTTTTTAGAGACTGGGTTTTGGCGTGTTGCCCAGGCTGGTCTCGAACTCCTGACCTCAAGTGATTTGCCTGTCTTAGCTTCCCAAAGTATTGGGATTACGGGCATGAGCCACCACTCCCAGCCTCATCCAAAGTCTTTTTTCTCATTCTACTCTGTGGTCAATAGCATCCAGAGTCTTGGCAAGATGGCCAGCTGAGCTTTGTGGTCCATATGTGAAATCACATGTGGATTCATATGCATAAACCTTAGAAATAGTACGCTAAGTGAAATAAGTTAGACACAAAAGGACAAATACTGTATGATTCCACTTATATGAGTATCTAGAAAAGGCAAATTCATAGAGACAAAGTAGAGTCGAGGTTACTAGGGGCTGGGGGTAAGGGTTAAAAATAATCTTGGGAGTTATTGTTTAATGAATATAGAGTTTCTGTTTGAAATGATAAAAAATTTCTGGAAATGGATAGTGGTGATGATTTCACATCATTTTGGAATGTGCTTAATGCCACTAAATTGTAAAATTGTACACTTAAAAGTAGTTAAAATGGTAAATGTTATGTTTACTGTAGTTAAAAATCTCAGAAAGATTAACTCTCACTTAAAAGACAGCTATAATGTTATGAGTAATATTTTAATTTGTATTTTCTGAAGAACAATGGATCATACTAAATCATCCAAATTCTTTCACCTGTTCTCCTTTATGATCAGTAGCATCCGTGGCCTTTGCAAGATGGCCAGCTGAGCGTTGTGGGACAGTCGGTCCCATATGTGGGGCAGTTCTGTCATTCCTTCAACTCCCCACCTGTCATATATATGAGTCTAACATACTGATATTTGCTTTAAAACATACATATATGTATTTAGGTTTTGCAAATTGGGATGTGGACAAACAGTACATATATATAATGCAGCAGCAATTTTTAAAATTACTCCCTCTGAAAAACTAGTTAAATTGAGGATTCATCTTATAATTAGTGATATATGTAAATTAAAAAGATATAGTTGTGACCCCAAAATATGAATGATATGGGAAGGTCATAAAGGACTAATAGAAAGGAACTAATTAAGAAAACAGGTAAGGAAGATTTCTTGGTGCTAACTTCTGGGGCTGCCTAGAAAGTGGCACAAATTAGAAGAAAGGAGTGTTTACCTTTTAAATAAAGCGAATAGATTAAGTAGAGAGTATTTCTATACTTGTGTCAGGAAATAATGTCAATCAGCATTAAGATCTTTATAGATGCTTATCCATAACCCTCCTAACAAGAGTATAAGGTGGATATTATTATTAACCCCACTTTACAGATGAAGAAATTCAGACACAGAATGAATAATCCCTACAAGGTTTCACAGCTGGTAAGTGGCAGAACTGTGATTTGAACCCAGGTAGTCTGTCTAGAGTTCACCCTCTGACTACTACTAGCTCTACCTGCTTTTGGTAGGAGTCATTAAAATAAAAATGGAAAAAGAAAAAGAAAGGAAATATGTAGTTACTGGATGCTTAAAACTACCAGCAAATGATCATTGAAATTATGTACAAGACACTGACTATTCATTGACCAAGTCCAGCACATTGGCTTCAAAGGGACAGTTGCTTGGGGATCTTGAGACAAGTGAACACTAATATAGGAAGTCAGTGTCAATCTGGAAATACGTTAGAGGTATTACACGTAGAATTTAGCAAGGAGTTAGTCTGAGTATGCCTTATTGTATCTTTGGCAATAAGATAAAAAGTTTGGAGTGTAATGAATTTATAATGGTCAAACACCACAGCCAAGAAGAAAAAACTTCCTATTACTGTGAGTAGGCTAATTCTTATGGGTATATTTTGATCACTGAACAGTGGAAGCACTGTTGGACTTCAGGCTGGTAGTAGGTGAAGGTGCCTCCCTGTGTGTGTGTGTGGGGGGGATCTCCCCAGATGGAATGAATCTCAGTGTGTTTTGGGTGTGGGGATATGAGAACGTCTTGGATATGCAGGAGTTATTATATGGTCATAGGTGAATTATTAGGTGCTTACTTTCATGATTTTCACTTTCAAATAAGAAAATTGAGCCTTAGAAAAATGAAGTAACTCTCTCACCACTGCCACCCCAGTACAGGTCTGTCTGACTTGACCCCAGTGCACTGAACTGAAGAGTTAAGGCAGTCTGAGTCCTTAGCCAGACATATTTCTGGAGCTTTTCTCCAAAAAGCTTGGCAAGTTTTGTGTTGTGCTTTAGTAAGGGAGGTATTCTCTTGTTCTTTTATGTGCTGATTAATGCTTTAGAGTCATTCCAAAGGGAGGCCTCCAGGGATATAGGACTTCCTGTGTTACCCACAGGCTTGATATGTATATCTTTTATGTCTTCCTATGTATATCTTTTATGTCTTCATATAATTAACTGATAAAAATGTTGAATAAGAGATGGCTAGAACTGAGTGGTATTTCAATATAACCTCAAAAGACTGGAATTAAGGGCCAAAACCAATAAGATGAAATTCAACTGGTAAAATGTCAAGTCCTGACTTGGTGTAAAGAAAAAATCAGTTTACATAAGTATCAGGTGGTAAAGACCTAGTTTGAAATTTAGTTGACTGCACACTTAAGATAAGCCCACATTGTGAAACAATGAATAAAATAGAGCTTGAATTCTTAGGTTGCATTGCAAGCAGCAGTGACCAGAGCAGGCAAAATGGCAGACCCATTGTACATGGTGCTAGTACCCCATCTAAAGATCATGTTCGGGTCTATATAAAGGAGGCATTGACAACCAGATTCTGGTCAAAGGGAGAGGGATGGTGACTGTTGAGAAAATCATGTCAAATAAGGAATAATTCGGGAAACCTGAAGTAGTTATAGCAGGGCCTGAATAACAGAAGCCTTGAGGATAGATAAATTACATATTTTCTCCTGGAGCTCACCAGAAATTCTGAATATCTCCCTAGCCAGCAGGCATAGGTGTGGAGAATCATGAGGAAAAGAGAAAGGAAACAGTAGAGGAAAAGGAAAGGGGGCTATCTCAGTCCATCTGCCCCTTTCTAAACCCACACATCATGCTGCCGTTTAACTATGTATGTCTTGGGGTAGCGAGGCCTTCACATCCTAGAGTTCCAGTTGGAAATGGGGCTCAGTCTCCTTTTTGCTTTCAGCTTCCCACTCGGTCCATCCAGGGCCTGTATTCTTTTGCCATGTGCCTGCCCCACCCTGAGGCCAAGACTTGGGTAGGCATGGCCTCCTGATGGAAGAAACCCATGGAGCAAACTGTCCAGATGCCTGTGTGGTCTGCACATTAAGGTGTTTTGTAATCCTCTATGATCCCAGCTGACCACATTTGGTTTTTGATACTTACAGGGAGCGTTCAGAATTTAGAGAGAATCTTTCTTCTTTCAACAAAGTCTATTGTCCAGCTGAGAACCCAAGAAAGAACCCAGTGGTTCTTCAAACCACTGTAGCTTGGCTTCTAGGTACATCTATGGAAATTTCTGTCAATGCTCACCTTCTAACTTCCAACTCTTTCCAGGACTCTTTTCAGTGCTATTTTTTTACTGAAATCCTGCTGCATTTTCTTATCCTCATCACTCTTCCTTTGCAAAATTTCTATTCCCTTGTCTTTTGTTCCATACCTCTGGCATGCCTTCTCTTTCCCTCATACAGTTCCTTGCCTTTGCCTGCCCCTTAAATGTTGATATGTCATACGTTCTCATTCATGACCAACTTCTCTTCTTATCCTTATCCCCTTTGGGGTGATTTAATCCACCTGCAGGGTTTTAACCATCACTTATATGTGGATGATGCTCAATTCTAAATTTCTAGCCCACATGTTTCTTCTGAGATTCAAATTCAACCTGCCTGAAGTGGAGTGGATCTCCTCATCCTCTAAAATACACCTGAAATTCTCTATCTCATTTGATGGCACAACTGTCCGTATAGTCACCCAAGATAGAAATCATATGTAGTTGTTGACTCTTTCTAGTGTTTCTCTTTTCTCAGAAGCTCCTGAACAGTCTTTTCTTGTCTATCCCTACAGCCAAAGTTTTATATCAGATCCTCCTTTTTTTTCTGCTCAGATAATAGAAACAGCCTCAAAACGGGCCCTGCTGTGTCCAGATCCATTCCCCTGCAGTTCACTTTCTGCAGGGCAGTCAGAGTGACCTCTTTAAACTTCAACAAAGGATGTTACCACCCCCAGTGATTTCTCCTTTGACTACAGGCTCCATACAGACCCACGTGTCTCTCCATCACCTTCCTCTCCAGTGTCACCTCCCATCACTTCTAGGCAGACCCCTCTCACTCCAGCAATGAGCAATGGCAGTACAGATGTTCCCCTACTCATTCTGCCCCGCACCCTGGAGCCCCAGCCCCTGTCTTCTCTGTCTCTCCCAACTCTGACAAAAGCTTCCATGTTCCTCCTTCAGGATTCCATACATACTAGATCCTACCAGATAGAGTTCCCACCCTCTGCCCAGCCCTGCTTGCATGTGCTCAGGGGAATCAGGTATTCCTAAATGCTCAAGGAAGATCCTCTGAAGACATACACCACTCATTATACTGATTCAGCAAACTTATTTTTCCTATAATATTTATAATTTTTAAAGTGATTGAAGTGCTATAGCATACTCAGTTCAGAAGACCTGGAAGAAAAAACATCACTCACCATCCTACTAGTCCTAGGAACTTCATTATTAAAATATCAACAGTGGAAATATTATTTCCATCACTTTTGTGTGTGTACGCATACATATAGATTTTTAAGTAATGTGGTGTCATTCAAAATATATTGAGCATTTATCATGTGCCAGGAACAGGCCCTACCCTCATTCAACTATAGTCTAGTTGGAGAGTCAGACATTAATCAAAGAGTCACACAAATATGCAAGTTACAACTTTATTTACATAGTTGAGAAATGCTAAGAAGGTGAGGCCATGGAGCTCTGAGGACATAACTTAAAGAGAACTGACCTTGTAGGAGATGAGGATGAACAAATTAAGATTTAAAAGAAACTAGGAGTTAACTAACTCAGGAGGGTGGTGTATTGTTGAATTTCTGCATTGAAAGCTTCTTTTCTTCCTTTAGGATTTGCACTTAGCAATAAATTGCAAACATTTTCCTGGTAAAAATTCTTTTGTGACACACAAGTATCTTAGGTATAATATTCAATCATATGGATATATTGAAGTTTAATAAATCCCCTAACATCAGATATTTAAAAGTTTCCTACTTTTTATTATGAATTATGCTGCAATGAATATTTTTGCACATATGTATGTCTTTATGTATGTCTCCAATAATTTCCTAAGGATATATTTCCACAAGTGGGAGTGCTATGTCAAAGGGTGTGCATATTAAGGTTTTTGCAATAGGCTGCCAAATTGCTCTCTGGAAAGACTCCACTGGTCTGCTTTTCCTTCCATCAGCCACAGCCGGGAATGCCTGCTTCTCGCGGTGGTCACCAGCACTGCATCCTTGCTTCCTTTGGAATCTTTACAGATTTTAATTACCCCCAAAATTGTGTCTTACTGAAGTTTTAGTTTTCATGTCTTTGCTTCCCATCGAGGCTGAACTTTTAAATACATTTTTGGCAGTGAAAATTTCTTTTGCTAGCTGCCTATTTTACCACCGTATTATTTTCAAATTGTCGTTTCAGATCATCATTTTAAAACTGCCCAAGTGTTTGTTTCTTAATAGATCACTGAGGGCAGAGGCTCTTATTTTTGCCCAGTGTATTACTTTAAGCCTAATAAGTACTAATAAGGGTATTTTTGAAGGTGATTTGGTTTCTAGAGCACCACCAGTTCCCTGACCAGAATGAGTGTGCAGAACCAGGATCGCTTCCGTCTTGTTATCCTAGACAATTGCCAAGGTTAGAGAATTAATATTTTCTTTCTAGATCACATGATTCAATCATATGTACTATTTTTGCTTCTAACACTATATAGCTCCAGGTACCTAATCTTAAAGACCTTTTAAGTATAAGAAAGAACCGAACTTAGTGGTCTACAATATCTCTTCAATATTGTCTTCTCCTTTAAACCTCTGGCTCCCTAAAGGTGGTAACAAACCCTGCAGTTCAGGACACCCTGGCTCTTCCCAGAGAAGGACAATGGGAATACATTGGATAGCTGATGGCTCTCAGCTGTGGACCTGACATCTCTAGGGGCTAGGAATTATCAGTCTTCAATGCCCAGAAGAAAATAAGAATGACTGAAAGGATATAAAAGCAGATGATGAAATGAATTACTTAAAGATCTGTGGGCATTTAGCTGATAAAACAAATGATTTCAGGAGTGAGAAAATACAAAACCTGTCCTTAAATTCATTTTAATTATAACACACATTTTTCTTACCTAAACTGGATATAGCACTATGGATTAATAAAGGACATGATTTACTTTGCACCCGTTACTGTTGCTTGTAAGTTGGTTCATTCATTCATTCAACAACTCTCTAGTAAGTTCCTAACAGGAGCCAGATACTGTGGGAGGTGTTACAGACTCGAAGGGGAACAAGACAGCCATTACCCCCACTCTCACAGAGCTTACAGCGGATCAGGAACAGAAACTGGCTGTGCTCTGGGAGGACATAAAGTGTCGTGTGTAACACACTGACTTTGTCTGAGTGGCTTCATTTATGATAACAGTGGAAGAGAAG